ATTAATAGGGCAAGTCATTCCTTTTGCAGCTTACCTAATTGGATCCCTCTGCTCTTCTTTCTTCTATTCTAGCGCTCTTCTGAGGGTTGAATGAGAAGCTTATCAGAAGCAGAGCATTTTCCCGTTGCCGTTGAAGACTCTTTCTTCCTAAACTTCCTAAAGAGAATCGCCCATAAGGAGCAGGGCGAGTGCAGTCGCTACACCGATCTTTAAATTGCTCTTGAGTTGGGACCCGAGATAAAAAGATAGATAAAGAAGGCAACCCGCCACCCGGTGCAACAAAGAAGTTTAGATCCGCTTAGGCAGTTCCTTCGATAAGCACAAAATCCCTTTGCTTTACTTTCTTTGAGGAAGTCATTCTTTGATCTACTGGGAATAGGAAGAGCGACTCTCCTACTAGGTGAACCCTGCTTCACTATTGGCTACTGGGTCAAGCTCCATACTGTTGTTGGAGACAGATTCGATGCTGGCAGTCCACTACCCGGCGTAATAGAATCTTATCAAATGCAAAATCTTAAGTGAAGACCCGGTCGAATTCAATATCAAACTACTTAACCGAAAGACGGAACACCCGTTTCTTTCCCACTCAAGTCCTCTTCCTCCCTGCGCGTCTATCTGATTCTAAGGCTTTAATCAAGAGTGATGTAATGCGCCGAAAGCAAGAGTTCATTGCTCGTCATCGCAAGGAAGAAGGAATTCCTTCGCCTAGCTCTTTGTTTAATCGTGATCTAAAGTTCTTGCTGTAATGGGAATCCTGCCATAGTTCCTTAGTTATCATGTATCCGAGTCGAAGTAAGCTTGAGATAAGGAATATTCATATGTTGAAAGCGAGTGCTTATTTCCGTCTTCTTATTGCTTTCATGAGGAATGAAGTAATCATACTAGAAGTTGATTTCTGTCCTTCGACTCAAGTTCCAATCCCCAGCACGAGATTCAGAAGCTATAATGCATTGATGTTCATTGGAATCCCTTCGCCGGTGTAAAGCCTACGCTTATCTTCCCCTATCGCTAATTCCTTTTAAGTCAGCTTGATATAGTTACTAGGAATCAACAAAAGAGGGCATCGACGTAGTCTTTTCGTATGTGTCTCCTCTCTGAGGTAGGCGCCTTCCTTGTTGACTCTTGGCAAGTGAGTTCTTTTCTTGCGAGTGGGTTTAAAAGCAGCATGCTCTGATGTTGTGGTCTTCCTCTTCTTTCCTTTCTATTACGAGCAGTAAATTCAATCATCTCCATTAATCCCAATAAAGTAAATCATTGCATCTTGTTTGTAAATCCCACTTCTCGGAATTCTGTTCAAGTAATCGTTTGTCTCTCTGCTTTCGCAAGTCTACCTGGCTTGAGGCCCCTTTGGTTAAGAGCTCCCGCTGTCTGCGCTTCTTGCCTGAGCCTCTCTAGTTTCCTCGCTTGGCTCACTAGTCTCGTCACCTCTACTATGTAAGACCTTCATTCATGGGCATCCCATTATTTCCTGGCTTCGCTCGCTCTGCTCGTGCAGTTTTTATTTTGTCTGTATCTTACTGATCAATTGAGTGCGAGTTATTTTCTTAGTAATCCTGGTAAAGGTCTCGGCAATTTGTTTAAGAGAATCTTCCATTTTAGCGGTTTTCCTTACCTAAAATGGGTCCCTTGGGTTAGTGTTTAATTTCGGGCTAATTGTTAGATTTGGTGTTATTATCCGCATATTTATTCGATTGGTGTCTATTACAGGATTAAGGTAATTTGTGAGACATGAACTAGTGTTAACAGAAAACCCTGCCAATCAAATACCTGAAAGTGCTTCCTTGACCCATCAGAAAGCTGTCTCACGTAAGAGAGCAAAGACTCCACCGGCAAGCCAAAAGCCCTTTTTATAGGATCCACAGACCAAAGGGGGAGTGCCTAAACATGAGTTAGGTTGAGTTAGGTGACCAGTATGAAAGCATAACGGCTTTGGGCAAGCAACTACTCTAAAGGCTACCATGACAACAGGGGCTTAGGAAGAAGTTTCATTGCTTTCCTTTGGGCTGATAGTCCTGTATACCATTCAACTCCTACGTTCCAAAGAATTCACTCCTGGCCGAGTGAGTGGTAGCGTATCGAAGGTGGGGTAACTTCTTCTTTACTTATTGAATCAAGTAACTCCTTGAGAGTCATTAACCCCATCAATCCAGTTCTCTCCCCATGGTAATACCACCCTGTACAAGCACGAAGAGTGAAATAGTCCCACAGTGTAGGAGAATCACATAGTAAGAAAGCCTCATACCTGGCATCAGAACCAACCATAAAGTAAGGATTAGCAAGACAAAGCCTGGACATAGAAGCGAGGTATACATATGGCACGAGACACGGGTTACGAAACCATAGTAAGAATTTACTCAACTTCGACACCAGCCGGAGAGAAGGTACACATGCAGCAGTTGGCAACCCAGCATGGATGAGGTGGCACGACAGAAGAGACCAAGAAGCCACAAGGACTGAATCAACGTCTCTCCCATCGGGGATAAGTATACTACCTCCGCCTGGGTCAAGAGAATCGGTAAGGTTATAAGTTCCCGTAGTGACGAGTGTAGCTTTGGTCTACCCTGTGTCTTTAACGAATGCGGGGAATTCTGCCAGTTAATGCGTGAGACCGGTTAATGCGTTTAATGATGCCAGTAATTGCTTGTAAATAGTGTATGAACTGCAAATTCCCTCTTTGTGGTAAATCAAGAAAAACTGACATATTACCTATATGCGGAGAATTCAGTTTTGAAAAAACTAATAAATTAGGGGATTGGTCATGCCATTTTTCTTTTTTTATGGTTTCTCTTCCTGGATGGGATTGATGAGTTGCTTGAAAGACCATCCGATCTAGCGAAGCTAAAACCTAGTCTTTGTTCGCCCTTCAGCTGTATTTACAACCTGCCTTCAGGGGACAGTCAACGAATTAGAACCTTAGATCGATACGGCGTCAACCCTTAAACCATTGCATTAGCTCTCAGCATCGGATTCTGACTGTCCTCTAAGCTAGCTTTTTTAATCATCATAGTAGGAATCGGAATTCACTCTTCTCTCTCTCACATGGGCTGGCCCCTTTCTTACATTAGGGTCAGTCCTATGCACACCTTCACTCGCGGTGAGGTCAGTCCCGGCCTCGGATTTCATAATCTCAAGACTCGGTTAACTTTGACTTGCGACTGAGAATGAGTTGAAGGAGAAGTCCGTAGACCTAGCCCAGACCTTAGGCTATTTCCTCTTTTCAAAATGCCCGGATGACACTCCTTATGCAGGAAAGGGCATCCTACTGATTGAGATGGGGTCCCCGCTCTATATATATTGGTGCTAAACCAGAGATTATCATGGGCTATCCCGGCATGAGAAGAAATTTCATGGTTGCCGAAGAGGAGCCTGATCAAGAAGTATAGGATAGCGCCTGTAACTAGCGCTACCAGCAGCTATGGCGACTGCACCTCCTCGTATTGGTTCGCTGCAGAAGAAGAAACAGATGGGCTTTCGACTTGTCTGGATCCAGAGGTGGAAGAAGGACCTCCATCATCTTTGTACCCGGATCCTATTCCTATCCACAGCTAGTAACTGAGGGTTGCCCTCACCTGCCAAATACCTGCTTCGGGGGATACCAACTAATAACTAATAGCGGGATTTCAACTAATGGTAAGAGTAAACACCTCTATAATCTACGGATCTGAGGACCTAGCCCTTAAAATAGGAGTGAAACGTTGCGCTCACTAACGCTTATTAATAGGGCTACGCTCGCTACAATCCTCTTATCTTAACAGGGGCTGAAAGAACTGGGCTGTAGCGCCTTTCCCTCGCTCTGATCAGGAAGCCATGTTAGAAAAGGGAACCTTTGCCTCTCCTTTCCCTCTCTACCCGACTTGTAAAAAGTCATGATAAGGCTTAGGAGGTGTCGAATACTGCCACTCTAAGCCTCGACCAGTTAGACAACTCCCTATTTATAGCATATATCGCAAAAGATGAGCTGGGTCAGTAATCGGCGAGACGTGGCATGTGAGTAGCCCTTCGCCCAGAGGATTGTTCTTTCCGAGGGTGCTGTGTGCCCAGAGCTAGCGAAATGCCCTATGTTACGTCCTAACTGGATGTCTCATAGCGAGATATGATCTAACTCCCCCGGTTAGAAGAAACCTCTCGATTGGCTGATCCGGAACTATTATCATGTGCTTCTTTTAATTGTCTCTCCGCCGCTAGCTTGAAAACAGAATATTAAGTCCAATAGGGCTGCAATTGAACCACATCACTGATTTCTGGACGTAGCCCACCAATGTAACGAGCAAAAATCTGTTCTTCTGGCTCCATGATATCACAACGTATCATAAATAAGATGATAAAATTCAGCCGTGTACTCCTCCACTGACAACTCCCTCTGCTGCGTCGTTCTACAACAGGATACTAAATGGGACCAGGAAGACACCACTGGAACTTGCTTTGCTGGCGCTCCGCTCGCTCCCACCTGTCTTCTTCCCACTATAGTGAAAGATCTTTCACTTCACCATAGCAGGAACCTCACTAACCTTATAGGCCAGTTACTCTAACCACTGGGATCCCCTCCAGCTTTCCCACCCACCGTAAACGATTACTAACTGAAACCTTCCCCTATTTGGGTAAGGGCGGAATACGAATGAGATTCTCAAAAAAGCACTAGGTTACCCTAAACCGCGCTAACGGATTAGCCCCCACCCCCCATTATTGCAAGCACAGCCTGAACAAATTGGTCGAAAACCGGGCTTTGGATGTTGTTTTCAACCAAGCTTTTGTACATATCTGCCAAGTAAGCTAGGCGATCAGGCGCCTCCGCCTCGTTAAGCAAGTTACGATTTTTGCACCGATATAAGTTGGTGACAACTTGACAAGCATGTGGCAAAAATGTATGATGTGCTGAAATAAGAATTTTGAAATATCTTCTCTTCAGTTGGAGAAGATAAAAATAAATAAATGAATAAAAAATTAAGACTTTTGAAATATATATATATATATATATATATAAAAATAAAAAAAATAATAAATAAATAAATAAAAGAGGAGTTGAAGTTCCATACTAGTAACTCGAGAAAAGGAGCATAGCAACAAGCCTTCAAGTTAGAAGCAAATTATTCAAACACCACAATCAATTACTCCATTTCAATTTAATCACAAAAACAACAACCATTCAAACATCCCCCACACACACCACGCCCTCAGCCAAGTACCCTCACAGCCATTGTAACCACCGTCCAACAAATCCACACCCAAATCAAATGAAATACCTGCATCAATTAAGAATGTCAGGTAATAAAAATCCACTTCGAATCTCTCAACCACATTATAACCCTTCCATCATACCTAGGACCTTGCCCACATAATAAGCCTTCCAATGAAGTATAGCTTTCCCTTCAGCTAGAATTGCAGGAAACAATTGGATCCATGACATCATTGACCCAGCATCATACTAGCCATTTCCTTCAACAATAGCCAACCAATTTCAACTAGATTATCATTAAATAATTTGTTCATTAGTTTCCATCAATGGTGCTCCCACCCATTCAACATTTAAGGCTAACCTGTTGAGTGGTCAAGGGGAGGTGATGGGAGAAAATAGGAGAAAGAGAGAGGACCTGGTGACCTTTGTGGGAGGGGGGTTGTCACGAGGTGGGGGTGGAAGGCAGAGAGGGAAGGTTTGTGATCAATTGTAGAACAACTAAAAATTCCATATTTGTCCTTGAAAATTCTCTTGTGAGATTCTGTCAACCCATTAAACAAAAGCCTAACATAATGGTGACATTGTTATTTGACCAAAAATGCTAGGCCTTGACTGTTACAATTAAAAAATGAGGGTCAAAGTGGAATTCGGTGTAAAGTGCAGGAGAGCAAAATGTAATTTACCCATATTATATGATGTTGATATGCTATCAAATTAGTTTTATTTATGTAGTTATAGGGCTTGTTTGTTGCAACTTATGCTAAGTTGAGAGTTGATAATCCTTAGCAGTATCTAAAAGCACCCCTCCCCCAGTTTCTGAATAATTAGCTTTTTTTTTTTTTTTTTTCAAGTCATTTAAGTTATTTGTACTACATAAGATGTAAGCAGAAGCCATAACAAGCGGTTTGACACGGAACCTCAAAATAAAAGCCCATGTAAACTATAGTAAACAAAACGATAGTAAGTTTTAGAATTTATATTGAGATGGTTCTAGGTTTTTGAAGGAATGGACTAGTAGAGGGGCATGGATCTTATTTAACGTTATGCTATTGGGTTTTCAAATCTGGTCCTTAGTGGTTCTACAATGATCTTACTATGAATTCTTGACTCCTAGTAGTAAGAGATTCCCAGTATCTATGGTGACATTCAAATCAGGAAATTGAGCATATGATTTTCTACAATTGCTGTTAAGTAAAACTGAGCATCTGATTGAAGTAAACTAATCTAACAACCTTCGCTTGTAAGCAGAATATGCACAGGGGATTGAAGTATCAGCAAGCGGTGATGTATACAGCTTTGGTGTGATTATGTTAGAGATGATAACAGGCAAGAAACCCACAAATCAAATGTTTTCAGATGGAATTGATCTAAGGAAATGGGTGAGGTCTGCATTTCCTGATCGAATTTTGGATGTAGTAGACATGTCATTAAAGCAGGAGGCAAATGAAACAGATGGGAGCGGTGCATTAAGTAAGCATCAATTATGTTGTATCGATATGCTCAAAGAAGGGATGATGTGCACAGAAGAGAATCCTCAAAAACGTCCCTCCATCTCATTGGTTGCACAAAGGCTGAAAAATTTCCAGAAAGGAATGGGATTGGCAGAATTATGTAATCAGAAAATTTTCCACAACCCAATTGGGGACCTAATGGAGCAGCCCTTAATTGGTTAGAGGATAATTATCAACTTTGGAAGTCTCGAATGACGATGATTCTATTTGCACACCACATTTTGTCTCCGTAAACACCATTTGTGCGGATATCTACTTCCAAACAAAATACAAATGTTCGGATATCTACTTCTGAACAAAGTACAAATGATCGAATATCAACTTTTGAACAGGATTTTGTTCGAATAATTGGTTTTTGTTCAAATGTTGAACAGGATTTTGTTCGAATATTTGAACATTTTTTGTTTTTGTTCAGAAGTTAATATCTAAATGGCACAAATGGTGTGTACCGAGATAAAGTATAGTGCGCGAATAGAATTACCCCTCGAATGAAGGCCAAGGTAGCCCATTGTATAGAAATACGACTTTTTCGTCCAATAAATGTAATTGATAGATTTTATTATTAATTAATATTTACCTAGAATCTGAAAAATTGTTTGTTTGGATATTTTGATTATGTTTCCTACTATTATTAGGGTTTAGTTTCTTATATTAATATGGGTTAATGACATATAAATAGGCATAACATTGTATTATGTAGATTTGGATGAATAAAATTAAGGTTGTGGTCTCTGATAGCATCAAGGCCGCAATTGGTACCACAAATGTGTAGAGCAAACATTGCACCTTAGTTACATAGAAATTGGCATTGTATCTCAAATTCAAGCCTAAACAGTTCAATTTTTTTAGTAGAATATACTTTCACCTGGTAAATTTGTTTGTGTGCACAAATTTCAAATTCAGAGTAGCAAAATGAGGATTACTCAATAATAACATTGATTTTACCAAAAACAATTACTCTTCATATGTAGATTTGAATGTGCAAAATCATAATCGAACAAAAATTAACAAATCTATGATTCATAAATGTCTAAGATTACGTAACCTGTTACCTTTACATTGGCGACGAGTGAAATTGAGAAGCACCAAGAAGCATTATTGGCTCTCGATTTCGTCTTCTTCGGCACTAGTAGTAGTAGTAGTAGTAGTAGTAGTAGTAGTAGTAGGTCTTCTATCAATTTCATATTCATCACTACCCGTGGAGCAGTCTCCTGATTTCTGTCTTCAGCCAGTGGCGCTCTGTTTGGTGAGTTTTTTTAACAAAAATGTTAGAGCCGTAAAAATTGTACTAAAAGTTTTATCAAATGTCTCACACATGAGTGTGGGACCCACATTCACACGCATGTGAGACATTTAATAAAATTTTTGATAGAATATTTAGAATCTCTAGCATTATTCTTTTTTTAAAACTACAAGCTAAAAAGTATTCGTTCGGCAGTTTTTAAATAATCATTTTTAAAAAAAAAAATTTATTTAAGTTATTTTTGTTTAGGAGTTGTTTGGCATCTTTTAAAATCATAATCGAACAAAAATTAACAAATCTATGATTCATAAATGTCTAAGATTACCTAACCTGTTACCTTTACATTGGCGAAGAGTGAAATTGAGAATGCACCAAGAAGCATTATTGGCGCAGTCTCTTGATTTTATCTTCATTCAATTTCACTTCATCACTACCCGTGAAGCAGTCTCTTGATTTCAGTCTTCAGCCAGTGGCATTGGCAGTGGCGCTGTTTGGTGAGCCTTTTTAAGCTAAAAGCTAAAAAGTACTATTCGGCAGTTTTTAAATAATTAATTTTTCTTAAAAATTTATTTATGTTATTTCTGTTTTGGAGTTGTTTTATTTGACATCTTTTTTATATTAATATTTTTTTAAATCTTTTTATCTTTTTTTAATCATATTATTTTTTTATATAATTTTTGTGTAAAAAATTAAAAAGTTTATTTATTTTGATCATCTCAAACAATCACTTAATATGTTATAAATAAAAATTACAATAAACAAATACAAACTCTCAAATTAAAATAACTATAATGGATTCTTAAAAGTTGTATTGTATCAAATATGTTTGGATATAGAAAAATGCTTCAGAGCTCGAATTCTCCGTGGCTCGAATCCAAAATGACGTCGTTTTGGTTTTTTTTTAACGACGTCGTTTTGGTTTTTCTTTTTTTTCTTTTATATCTGAAACAGAGGGAGGAAGGAGGAGAGAGAGAAAGAGAGGAGGAAGGGGGAATGAAGAAGGAAGAAAAAAGAGGGAAGGGAGACTGTACGGGAAAGAAATAAACCTTCTCGTATAATCCTGTTGACCAAGTCTGCGCTCCTCCGTACGACGTCGCATTATCACCTGAAAGCACAAACGTGAGCTAGCCGGCGGGTGTGTGCCGGAAACCTCTCCGATGCCTAAGTCAGCAAACTTGACAAATAGACAAAGCTCTGTGAATTCAGAAAGCAAAATTGGTGTTACCTCCTCCAAGGTGATGTTTGTGAGCTTTTATAAGTTTCGTGTGGCACAATCCTAGTAGGACTTCTACTTCTCCATGCAGAGTCCTCCTAGGATTCATACTCCTGAAAGATAATGCTTATCCTTCAACACCCCCCTCACTGCTTAAACCAAGTGAGATGGTTTTTACCATGGCCGAACTACCACATGACCGAAATAATACTGGCTATGCTGAGCCACAGAGTAGGCCGAACTATCCTTAGTTCGGTTCTTTCTTTTCTACTCCCTATCTCGGTTCTTTCATGTACAAACCATGATATGTTTAGACCGAACTACCGAGTAGCAAGGTTTTAACCGTTCTAACCACAATACGTCATGACCGGACTAACTCTGAGACCGGCCTAACTCCAAGTTGCTTCCAGACCGGAGTAACTTTACAATTCTTGGGCCGGAGTAACTTTATCTCTCTTGGGCCGGAGTAACTTTTCGGCCTTTTTACCCAATCCTTCGTGCTTTGGGCCATAAAGTTCATCTCATAGCTCGACCCAATTTTCACCAAAATTACCCTCTCAATTGCCCCTTAATTCCATCTGCACAGCATGATTAGGATTACATGTCTATCAGCCGAGCTGAAGTTTTTAAGCCTTTCCAACTGAACTAAAAAAACCCTTTAGCCTCTCTAGCCGAGCTGAAAACTCTTTAGCCTTCCGGCCGAGCTTATTTCTCTCCGGGCTCTACTTGTCCGGTCAAAACGTCTTTTCAATCACAGCGACTGTAACGCTTCCCTTTCCAATGACACGTGGCAGGCTCTGATAAGCTGGGGGCAGCTGTCACGCCGCCCTCGTACTACGAAAAATTTGAACAGTTCCCGCTTTTTCTCTTTCGTCCCTTCTTTTACACAAACACCTTCTATATTTTGGATTATCCACTCTACTATTACATCTCTTCTCTCTCCACCCTGTGTTCTTGCTGTTCTTTCGTTGCACTTGAAGAGACTGTGACTTTGCTACCATTTTTCCATCTTCAGTGTTTCTACGTCTTCGTTTGGTAAGCAACTGGAACCTATCTATCTTTCTTTGCTTTTATTTACTTCCATGTAGTTTGTTTCGTGTGTTTTTGCAAAACATATTCTTTCCATTTGCTTTGCCCTGTACTTTACTGGAAAAACTTTACGGAACTCATGCGTGTATGCAATATCCTGTAGAAGACTAGTCTTTGATCCAAAATCATGATGCAACCGAACTAAGATACTGTTTAACCTAGGTAGAAGTCTAATCAACGTACAACCGGACTAACACTTCACGTTTACACCAGTAGCTTTGAATAAGTCAAAACTTCTTGATAGTCCTTAGCCGAGGTAACCAACCGAACTAAGTTTGAACTCATTAAACTAGGAACTTCGGCGTTCAACCGAGCTAAGCCTTTGGGGCTAAGCTAGCTTTCTTAGTTTCTGAACCAAACTCAGAAAGCTGCCCCTAGAGGCTCAACCGAAGTAACAAAACTCATAGTTCAACCGATTTAGGCCTTTGGGGCTAAACCAGCTTTCTGAGTTTTTAGACCAAACTCAGAAAGCTGCCCCAAGATGATGAACCAGTCTAACAAAATTGTTTCCAAAGCCAGTATGCCGAGATGTTTGCCAAGATCTGGCTTAATAAGAACCCTGCTCAAACCGAGCTACCAAGCATTTTGTCGAACCGAGATAGAACCTGTCCACAAAACCACAGCCGAAGTAGGGCTCTTTTACCTTGCTTTTAATTTGTAGCACGGTCCAACGATCTGTGCTTAACCCCTTTGTTCTCTATTTTGCAGACTTAGGTTGCCCAGGCACTCCTCCGTGCGCTCAACCGAGCTACCGAGCACAACTTTTGCACCGATCTAAATTATTCATAATTTATACAATAAATGGGGAAGTATAGGTATCTAGTAGACACTCCAGGCAGCCTAGCCGAATTCAGAAAAGACTACAATATACCCGATGACGTCCACCTGATTTTAGCCGAAAAAGATGTCATTCCTTGGGACAATGAAGGCTTTGTCCCCTTCACCCTCTTATCCATTATTGAAACCGGACTACAATTTCCAGTCCAACCCTTAATTTGCGAGTTTCTTAGGCAAACTAGACTGTGCCCTACCCAACTATCCACCAATTCCTACCGCATCATAATGGGAATAACCGAACTGAACCGCCAAGCCGGACTAAACCTTGGCCTGGCCGAAATCTTCCACCAATACTCCATTGGTTCAAAAGAAGATGGGTGGGTCTATTATTTAAGAATACGTCGTCGCCGAGAGAAGATAATAAAACATACACCGGATAAGGACTTGAACGACGACGATTTTTTCTGGGTGTCTGGGAATTTTGAGGATCATCAAGCCCAGATTCCTGGCCGACGTATAAACTGGAAAAAAGGAGAACCTGGTAAATTTACTTCGGTTTTCTTGCGTGCTATTTTATATTTCGGTTTGTCAATCTTTCAGCCGAGCTAACAGTTGTCTTTTTTCGCAGATTCTGCCCACCTCCATTCTTTATACAGCTACCCCAATCTAGCGACTTTACGCGCCGCACTACGGTATCCAGAACGTAGTTGGGCTAAGCTGTTAAAGTTTGAGCCGACCTACAGATACAGCGGTCGCCGAAAGGCAAGAGTGACCGACTTTCTTCTTGAGGAGGCCCCCGAACCGGACCCAACCTTGCCAGAAATCAGACTAATCCCACTAACAGCTGAAGAGGAGATGGTTAAAAAGAACAGAGTAAGGGCGCTTCTAACCGAAACAAACAGGCCCGAAGTACCGCCACCAAGCCAAACGCAGCCTGCCGTTGTGGCCCTCCCTTCTCAACAGCCTTCTTCATCACGCCCCTCTAAGCGCGCCCGATCTATCCCGACCGAACAACAACTTGCGGATGAGGACGATTCCATCCCTTCACCAAGTCCTCAACCCATCCTTCAACCGGAGCAATCTGACCGAGCTGACTCCTCAAGATGGGCTCTAGTTCTCTCCTTTCAAAACCGAAATATCGAGGAAAGTGACTCGGTTGTTGCTGAGAAGGACCACTTAATGGCTTTCAACCTAGCCAAGAGTGTTTGCCTTCCAAAAGATATGGAGCACCACAACAAGCAACTCAACACCAAACTGAAGGCCATCCGGTCATCAACAAAGTCAATGATCCTGGTAAGTGGCTCTCCCTTTTCTTAAAGGTTTGTATGCAATGCACTCTTGGCCGCTTTCATTTCCTTAGCTGTTAGTTAGTTCTTCTGTGGTTTGGTTCTTAAATATCATCAATTGATTGTGATTCCTGCTTCTATAATTACTTGTTTTTATTGAAACTGTGCTCTGCTTATATGCTACCACTATCTCAGTTCCTTGACATTTATCTGAATTGATCAATTGACATTTATATGTTGCTGCTGCTGAGTTATGTGTTGAAACTTGGATATAGAAAATTTTATAATAAGACCTGTTTTGATAATGAATTCGTCCTATTTTGATTATGAATTCGCTAAATATTACAGGTGTATTATTTTCCTGCTTTGGCGACCAATTTATTAGTCGCGACAAATAAATTATTTTTTTTCGC